TGTTATAAGAAGAGTTTCTTTGCCGGGTCTTTTAGACAAACAGAAAAGTTCAAATAGTGCAATTGGTGTTCGATATTTAAAGACTTTAAAAAGTTCATTGCAGCAGTGATACGCGTATAAATTATGCAATGTCATGAGTGATTGACGGGCAAAAATTGGCTTGGTGTGCTCTCTCTCAAAGAATGTGCTAGTAAGTTTCTGTTCACTGATAGGTCTAGTCCTAGCACATGTCATAAATTTATCAAGGTATGCTTTTTTGTCACCAAACATGATACGAACACACTTTTTCTGGGCTACAAATAGTGGTTGAAGTTTATTATTACTTGCACCTCCCCAAACGGTAATGCCATAAGATAGGTGACTTTCAAAAAGTGTGTGGTACAGGTCCTTATGGATAGATGATGGAATTTTATCCTTAATCATGTATAGCCTCCCAGAACAGGACGAGAGTTTTCTAACTAGTTTGTCTCTATAGGGATTGAAAGTTAGGCCTTCGTCGACAATTACTCCCAGGAATTTCGTCATTTATGTATATTAAAAACAGGAGAGGCCCAAGGCAGCTCCCCTGTGGAACGCCATAGAGAACAGGAAGTCTGTCTGATACTTCGCCCAGGACGGACACACACTGCTCTCTGTCCGACAAGTAACTTTCCAGTAACTTAAGTGGCACTCCTCTAATCCCATATATTTCAAGTTTCTCAAGCAAAATTGTGTGGTCTATTGTGTCAAAAGCCTTGCTTAGATCAATAAAAATTCCTAGAACATGAAGACCTTGCTTTAGGGCCTTTTGGATGTGAAAAACTGAGTAGTTAAGTGCATGTGATGTTGAGTGACTCTTTCGGAATCCGAATTGACTGTCGTGAAGGATTCCTTGACTAACCAAGAAGCTGTAAAGACGTTTGTATATTATCTTTTCAAAAATTTTACCAAAAATTGGAAGTGTGGAAACAGGCCTGTAGTTCTCAATCAGTTCTTCGTTATCTTTTTTGTATATTGGGGTTATTTTGCCAAGCTTCAGAACTGACGGAAATATCCCTTGAGATATTAGGCGATTAAATTGAACAACAAGAGTTGGGCTAAGAATACCCGATAGTTTTTTGATTACTCTTATGGGAAAGTCGCTAGCTTTCCCACTCTTCAAGTTGGCTATAATCTCAGAAATTTCATCTTCACTACAGTCATGGAAGTAAATTGAATCGAGAGTTTTTGGTGGCATGAATTCGAGGAAAGAGGGAAGAGGTTCTAAAAGAAGGCCATTATGAGTATTTTCATTCATTTTTGAGGCAATAGAGGCAAAGTACTCATTAAATTTGTTGGCTATCACCCGTCTTTCAACAACACGGACTCCATCTACCATAAATTGGGGTTTGATGGTTTTTTTCCTTTTCCCTCTTATCTCATTTATTACTTCCCACATCTTTTTAGAACTATCAGAATTTTCAAGAATTTTGTTACAGTTATAGGTATCTTTTTGGTTTTTTATTATCTTTTTAAGACAGCGTCTGTAATCACGAAAAATTTTGTGGAGTTTCAGATCTCCAACTGGCTTGAAGTCAGGGAGCTTTTTTGAGTTCACCCAGTTATCATACAGCTGACCTTTCTTTTCAATTGCTTCAATTATGCTGTCGGATATCCAGGGATTACTTATAGGATTTCGTTTGGTGAGTTTGGGTTTGTCGAGTTTACAACATGAGTCAATAGCTGAGCTAAAAATTTCAAAAAAGTCGTCAAATTCAATTGGATTTTCATTGTTTGTTAGTATGCATTTCTTAGATAGCAAGTGTTTTGTTAGTAGTTCAACATTTCGGTTTGAGAAATCATAGCTTTGCAATTGCTTAGGCTTAGGGGAAGTTTTCCTAGAAGTTAAATGACTGATGTCAAAGAAAGCAAAGATTGGTTTATGATGGGAAGAAGTGTCTTCAATAACTCCAGAGAGGGTTACCAAGTCAATCTCATCAGTAAAAATGTTGTCAATGCAGGAGCTTTGGCCTACATTTACTGAGTGAGTGGGACGAGATATAAGAGGAAAGTAACCATAAGAGAGCATAGTGTTCTCGAAATTCTGAACCTGTTTTTTATTACTCTGATTTTTAAGCAAATCGTAGTTGAAATCTCCAAGAGTTATAGTTTTTGCATTTTTTGGAAATTTGGACATTAATTGTGTGTATTCTTCATCAAATTTGACTGAGTCTCCGTTTGGAGATCTGTACAACACCCCAACATTGAGTTTGCTATCTCCATGGTTGATAGTTACATATAGGGTTTCTAAATTTGGTGTGATTGTGCAAAGTTGGTCATTAATTGTTGCATTTAGGGAATCATGAATATACAAGCACACGCCTGAGCCTTTAGCTTTGCCTTGGAGTTTATCTCCGTAAAAGTGTGAATATCCATCAAGTGCATAAACATCACAGTTCTCAGCATCTGTATTTGTTTCCGCTAAAGCTAGAATAGAAAATTTCGTTTTTTGAGTGGCAAGTTCCGAGAGGAATAAGTCGAAATTCGATTTATTACCATCAATGTTGTAAAATAAAGTTTTTAAGCCAGAGTTTTCAGGGGTGTGCTGGTGTAAGGATTTCAATCTATAATAGCTGCATTTGTCCAAGATAGAGGAGGCAGTCTGAAGACTTCCAATAGCCTCAGACCAATTTTCGGAGTAAAATTTGTCATTCTCGCTATCCTTGAAGAGATCCTCATTTGTGGTACAAAGGTCCTTAAACGGGTTGTAAATTAAGTTTTCTCTTTTTGAGCAAACTTTACAGAGAAGTATGGAATCAGTCAGCTTGAATTCAGATGTTTTGAAACAAATTTTGTGGATAATATTTTGGCAACTTTGGCACTCAAGAAATCTTTGGCCAATATTAATGTTTTTGCTACAGCATCCGCATTTCTCCTTAGTTGAGTTAATCTTAAACATTTATATCAGACTGCATCTGGCGGTCCTCCTCTTAGTGTGTTGCTGTACAATCTACTACCTACTAACTTGTTATGATCCTTGGATGTAAAAATACAGTTCTTAATTAACTTGACTAGTGCACCAACGGCCAACGCCCTTGCCATTAATATGAAGAATATCATTCACATCAGACTTAGCTAGACTGTTCTTAAGCAGGTTGGTGCTTTTATCTAGAAATGTCAAAAAGCTATCAACAATTAGAACTTTAAGATTAGATTGACTGAGATCGTTGTACAAATACTGGTTAAAAACATTAACTTTTTGATTGATCTTATGCGACCTTGTTGGCAGCACAGGACAGATTATCAGTTTACAACGTGGGTTGTATTTCCTAATCTGAGCGATTTTGTTCTTATACTTGGTATACAACTCTCTCTCATCCGTTCCATCTACTTTTAAATTGTTGGTTCCTTCCATGATGACAACGTTTCTGTAACCTACACAAGACAAGGGATCGATCTCCTCAACCGTAGCTGCCCAGAGGCGAACTCCAGGGGTGGCTTGTCCCATCTTTCCACGACCTGTACCAAAGTTGATTTGTCCAAAGTTTGAATCTCCAACAAGCACTGTGGAGTTAAAATTTGACCAGTGGATTGAGCGAAAGGTTAGACTATATCGCATTCCTACTTCATCAGACGTTTCAGGCTTGATTGAGTGTTTAAAAAACTCCTGGCTTGCTTTTGTCATATGGTACATGCTTCTACCCTGACATTTTATCTCCGTAATCTTATCTGTAGAAGTTTCACGAAAGCTAAGTGTTCGACATGAGCCTAAGGAAACTGTGAATATCGATGACACCCGATTAATGTCTCCCTCGTTGTCTGAATGTTCAGGAAGTGCTTCATTCCCATCTGCATACCTGTTAACCAGGCAGGAGTTTAGGTCATAGTGGAACTGTTTCTGGGGGTGTGTGGAGGAGAATTCAGTGTTAAGACGTTTCATGATGTTGCCAATCAGGGTGGGCATGGGCTTTGGTTCCGATTTTGCACCCATGTAGTGGTAATGTTGGCCATACTGGATTGTGGCATGCTTACCTTCTTTAGTGAAACTCTCAGCTTTGAGAAAGTCTGTGAGCTCCATCTCTTCATCAGGAGTTAAGAAATCTTCCTTTATCCCTTCTATGCATTTAAAATTATGAGTAAGGGGGGTATCCTTTACTTCAATCCTTGGAACTGATGGAGGTGCTCTTGGATGATGCTGCTGTCCATACGTGGAGGGCATATCAGAGGGTGGTGGGGGTGGTGCCTGAGGAATCTGCATGGACTTTACCTGATCTGACAGGGAGCTGAGTTGTTTCTGGATACTATCAATTAGATTGTTGGATGGTTGGGTGATTTCTGCAAATCTTGCCTTAAGCATGCCGTCAAGAGATTCAATAACTGATGCTGACACCTGATTTGCTTCTGATAAAGACTCCAGTTTTAATGCAAGTTTGGCAGACTTATGTGTTTTTGGGCAGGGATGAGGGCATGTGTAGCACCAAGGGCATTCCCAACTCTTAAGTATTTCATCAATGGCTTTCTGGCCAGCTAGTTCACTGCCCTTAAGGTTTGCACAAGCAGAATGCCAGACTTGGTTACAGCGCGAACATGTCAAGAGCCAAGACTTCCCGCCTGAAGTTGCCTTGCAGGGGCATTTGCTCTTCTTGGGCTTGGGTTTCGGTGATGCACTGTTGCTGTCTGAGGCTGAGGTCTCTGCTTCAGTATCTGAGAAGGGGGTTGCTAGTGGTGATATTCCTGGTGATACTCCCGTGCGGTTGAGAAGGGATACTTGCAGAAGGCTTCGGTTCTCTGAACTTGTCGGTGTGGTAGCTAATGTTGAGTTAACATTCTTCTGGTCACCTTCACTCCTGGATCTACTCCGTGTGGTGCTACCCTGGGATTTGCCGTACATTGGACTCCGGATTTCAGGCGTCTTGAACTTCGGGCTATTCAGGCTGAGCTTCTTCTTGTTGTTTTCTGTTTGCTTATTAACCATTATCAGTAGAGGCGGGGGCAGCCGGTGGACCGTTCAGGGTGGTGTCCCGTCAGACAGGCCTCAGGACCTCAAATTATTTGTTATATAGTAGTGTTGAAAGTATTAAAACATTGATTTGATTTTATAAGGAGCTCAGTGGCGTGACAAAGGGTCCCGCTGACCCCGCTGTGCAGGGGGGCGCCGTCTTAGGGGGGCGCCAAATCGTCGTTTGAATGTGGGAAAATTTCGAAAAATTAACTAAAGTACTAGCAAAACTGCGCGTTTTGCTCTAGATACACACTTTTTTAGAGATTTTACCGGCGTATCCTCTAAAATCACCTAATTTGTTCAATTTTTGGGAGGGGCACCGAAAGGGGAGGGGGCGCCAACAGGGGGGCGCCTTTTCGGCGGGGGCGCCAACAGGCAACGTTACGCCACTGAAGGAGCTAGCCGATTAATTTGTTTGGAAAGTCTCATCAAAGATAAGGCTATGTAATGACATTTATTAGAGTAAGATTTGACCTATCGAGAACAATGGTCATTGCTCTTAGTGGAGAAAGAAGATCGAAAAATAGTAGTCTAATATAGATATTGTCGAAGCGTTTTGTTGTTTGTTGGCACTTAAATTTTACCGGGTTTCTTGTGTACGGGGCTAGGAGTAAGGATACTTGTGACCCCTGATGCATTTAGCTGAAATCTCCAATCATATAGTTTATTGTTTAATGAACACTTCAAATGAAATCGTGATTTAGGACGACCACTATTTTAGAGTCAAGATATTTTTGTGTAGCCTATGTAGCTCCATATTTAAATTTTGTTTTACTTAAAAATTTTGTTTTACTTATTCTTAACAGTAGCAGTGGCGTAACATTGTAAGTTGTCGCCCCCACTGAAAAAGCACCCCCCTGTTGGCGCCCTCTCCCCCTCTTTAAGTAGAAACGTAAGATTGGACAAGTTAGATGATTTTAGAGGATACGTTGGTGAAATCTGTAAAAGAGTTTGTTTCTACAGCAATACGTGCAGTTTTGCTAGTACTGTAGTTAAGTTTTTCAAAATTGTCCCACATCCAAACGTTACGCCACTGAACAGTGGTAATCCTAATATGCCAACATTAATAGTCGTAATTAGTGAAACAAATTTTAGTGAAACAAATTTAAATTTTGTTTTACTTAAAGAGCTCCTATAGTGAGGTGGTTCTCTATTTAGGCTGAATTTAAATTTAAATTTATTTATAAATGTATAATAATATTAAATATGTATTGATTGTTTTGTGGTAAATAAAAATTTTGTTTTACTAAAATTTTGTTTTACTACTAAATTTATGAATCCTCCCATAAAGTTATTTTAGCTGAATGTTTTGGTTTTCCACAGTTCACTAGATCCACATATTGTTAATTTTTGAAGTAAGGACACATTTTCAGCACTATGTAAAACAAGGAGCCTAGAGTATGGTTCACTGAGCCCTAGTGGCCATGGACTCTAAGCTGACTAGATGGTCCTCCCTGGCAGAGTTTCTCCAGTCAGAAAAGCTGTCAGAATACATTCCCACATTCTCAACTCTTGATCTTAAGGTTTGTGAAGTGTGCAATTTTAAAATTTAAATATCAAGCTCAATTGGTTTGGAAACGATTATTTCGAATAAGATTTTTACAGTGATTGTCTTGATTGTTTTCCGTATAACTTTCAATGTAAGATGAATACTACCTTACACCTTCCCTCCAGGCCTTCAGCAAGCTTACGTTTAAGGATATACAATCTCAAGTATCGCCTATTTATGATCGACATAGAATTGTTGATGCTGTTAACTTTGCCAAGTAAGTACTAAGTTTATTGAAATTTCCCTTCATTGTCATTTATTTTGATCATTGTATATTTAAGTTGCTTTCGTACCATGCTTTCATAGCATATAAAAAAGGAAAAAGTCAGAGTTCAGCATGAGTTACAACTCTCTAAAAAATTAATTAAAAAACTCAAATCAAATCTTCCTTGTGTGTTTCAGAGCATGCTTAGATCCTGATACAAGTATGGATACAGATCCGTTGAGAAAGCTAACCCCAACCAATGCACAAGTTGCAGATGATGTTATGAAGACTCCTACCAAATCATCCTTCAATAAAATGAAAACTTCAACCCCCTCCAAGAGATACCTAGCAACAGCACTAAAGTCTGCTTTGAGGCCCACTAAATCTCTGAGTCCACCTGTAGTGAGTAAAATACTGTCTGTTCTTATAAATTTTGAAATCGTTTGGTGTAAAACATGCCATCATAAGAACATGCTAGAAATTAAATTTTTGCGGTGCTCCAGGCCATGAAACAGCAATTTGATGTGAAAAAACTAACACAGAGTTGGAATAACGGATTCATCATGAAATTTGTGTATCTTAAAAGCAAAATTGATCACTGATTATCCGATTACAAGATACAAAACAGCAATCAAGCAGCTGATAAGGCCCTCATTGTGCTGAAGGGTTTACCTCTTTTCAACTGTCCATAATTCTGCTCTTTAAACATCCGTTTTCTGTTTTCATGTTAATGCTGACTTTCTTTGTCAGAAACAAAGAGGTATACCCGAGAGGAAAAGTTTATCTTCCTACGAGCATTCTCTTGCACCATACGAGTCGGAGGGCAGTGACGGGGACACTGACCCTGATACTACAGGTAACATAAATGAGAATTCGATATTTTTGATAAATAAATATATCAAATTAATTTGTAACCGCTCAATCCACCGTTCAACTGTAATAACTTGAGTAATGAGTTTTGATGGCGAGGATATATAATATGTTGAACTAGCACGTCATGTTATAGTCCATGGTTTGGAGAATATTGGCTAATTGCAATGTGTTGGTGTCACATGTGCAAACAAGCTCGAATTGCCCTATAACACGGAGACAATTACCCTCATTTAGATTTATGACCTGATAAAAATATTATCAAGTCATTTTATGACAGTGTGGGCCTTTCTCTTGTGAAAAAATTAATAAAACATCAAATTTATTGTGGGTATTCAGGGGGCGGGGCGGGGCTGAGGAAGGTAATAACTACTCGAGGTTATACATTATATAGGTTATTATTATTACTATTATATACACTTACTATGTTCCAATTACCAAGTCTAGACACTTTTAGTCTTATAAAAGATTAACGGACCCTATATTCAAATTTAACGCTCGTCAAACTCAACGTTGGTGGCCCACCGCTCGATATGGTATAAACGGAAAAGGAAGTAGCAAGTGAATTTCAATTTGATAATTTCGAAAATCTAAGGTTACAATATGGATATCTTAGCTGTCATGAACTGTCACGTGACACTAAGTTCTTCGAAGGTAAATAGTCGCAAACGTGGATTGGTCATTTTTTGATTTCTAAAACGCAGTTTCGTCTGATATGTATTATATATATGTAATATATATGCTCTTTAGCCTTGGGTTCATTAATTATCAATATGTCTCAGCTAACTGCTCGTTAACCTTAGTGTCACGTGACAGTTGATATAATCCATCTACTTTATGGTCATTTCTCAAATTGAGTGAGATGTTGGTTAGCTTGCGATATATGTAACGTTGTACCATCATCGCTCGGTTTGAACCGTTTTACAATTTAAATGTGATTGAAACTGGATGCTAGGATAATAATTAATAAGTTGGGTATTTTAACGTGTTGGATTCAATTAATTAAATTTTCTTTTGTTATTTTTTACTGTACGTGATCGCAAATAATTTTGTGTTTATATTCATGTTGTAAGCTTGATGCTGCATGATAAGAGCTCGATATCACATCGTGTTTTAACTTTATCGGCTTGAAATTGATAGAACAGAAGATTGTGATAAGTTGCACTATTTTAGAAAATATGCGAATGATTTAAGTTAGTTCTGGAGCCTCTGATTTTACTTTTTGAATCATCACGGACAATTACTGATTTGGCAGTAACCATCGTCCTTCTAAATCCACATTCCAGTATAATATATACCCGGACTTTCCTCATTTTCGTTATCTCACGATTTACTTCATTATTAAGTAAAATCATGTCAAAGTAAGTCACAACTCCTGTTTCCTATCAACCTACCATTATCTCTAATACGTTTTAAGTCGGTACTCGTTCGAATGACAGTGGACATGACGTGATGAAGTTATAATTTGATAAAGTCCAATAACTCTTCACTTTCAAGTCCTCCTATCAACAGGAGCGTCATTGTAAGGAATGTTTCCTGCAGCTCACCCAGCTGTCACCCCGACTTTATACATAGTTGCAGTGGAATGTGGGCTCCATAGCCCCTTCATAATGTTATAAGCTGTCAATATAATACATTATATATACAAACAATAAGTCAAATACAAATTATTAATTGCTGAATTCATACAATTTTTATCCCAAGGACCTTGCAGCTTATTGTAACAAGTTGGTGTACATATAAAATGGGTGCAGTAGTTCTGATAAAGTGATGATATGTACCCAGTAAACTACAGTAACTAGACAAGCCAGGAAACTGCACCAGACCCACCAGGTCTAGCACCTGCACTGGATGTGGGGGCACCTGCTTAATACATTCCTAATACTGGAGCTCTTGCAGCTGTTATATTATATAACATTTGTAGTAATAGGAGGATATTAGGAAGAAGGTCCAGTCAAGCATACTTTAGAATGTAAGATAAGGAAGTGAACAAGATATTGTAAAGTTGGTGTCGAAGTGCTGGTTACCAGGTTACCAGGTTACCAGATCGCCAGTTACCAGGTTACCAGGTTACCAGATCACCAGTTACCAGGTTACCAGATCGCCAGTTACCAGGTTACCAGGTTACCAGATCGCCAGTTACCAGGTTACCAGGTTACCAGATCACCAGTTACCAGACTATAGTCCCTCTAATAACACCTACAATAACACCTGTGTGTTATAAGAGATGAGAGAAGGCACACTTCCAACACACAGTGTATGTGGTGTATACCAACATCAGCTGTACTACAGCAGAGAGGACACTACATCAGCTGTAGTGTCCTCTCTCAATAATACAAGTCTCACAGTGGTTAATACACTAATACAGGGTGTATAACACTCATGCTAATATACACTATACACTATATATAATACACTATACATAATACACTATACAGCTGGTACTGTAAAACATAATGCACATGTTAATGTAATACCCTGCACTATTAAAGAGAGGGACTGATACACGTGTAATGTGTATCTAACCCCACACATGTAATACAACACGTAACTGAAAGTGGGACACACTACGACAGATACCCTACACAGTAATGTGATTACACATTATTACTATTGTGTCACTGTACTATGAAGTAATCACTGAAGTGATGTGAGAAGCTGTTGTAGTACACTGTATTACACATCACTACTGATTAGAGAGGACTGGTAACCAGTGTTGTTACATCTGATGTGTTACCCAGCACAGTATCACTGCAGCTGCACTTCTATGTTGACGGTGATTGACTTCACAGTATTTACTGTAACATAATCACTGATCATTAGTTTGAAGTGTACTCCCGAGCATCACTACCACTTACCAATGATTAGCTAAATTAATATAATATTAATAATGTATATTCTATAATAATATTCTAGATACAGTCAACAATAGAAATCAGTTAAGATTAGTATTTCCAATCTTGCTAGCTTACCACTGAGCTGAGATCCGTAATTAATAATGTGTCTCAGATAATACACAATATAGCACACAATGCAGCTGAGCACTGATTAATATTGAGAATGTGAACTCTGAAGTGTAAGCCACAAAATATGTTGTTGTATAGACGTGTGTGAGAGTTTGTGTGTGTGTGTGTGTGTGTGTGTGTGTGTGTGTGTGTGTGTGTGTGTGTGTGTGTGTGTGTGTGTGTGTGTGTGTGTGTGTGTGTGTGTGTGTGTGTGTGTGTGTGTGTGTGTGTGTGTGTGTGTGTGTGTGTGTGTGTGTGTGTGTGTGTGTGTGTGTGTGTGTGTGTGTGTGTGTGTGTGTGTGTGTGTGTGTGTGTGTGTGTGTGTGTGTGTGTGTGTGTGTGTGTGTGTGTGTGTGTGTGTGTGTGTGTGTGTGTGTGTGTGTGTGTGTGTGTGTGTGTGTGTGTGTGTGTGTGTGAGAGAGTTTGTGTGCTAGTGTGTGTGTGTGTGAGTGTGCTAGTGTGTGTGTGTGTGTGAGTGTGTGTGTGTGAGAGTGTGTGTGTGTGAGAGTGTGTGTGTGTATTAAGTTTATTTAAATAGTCTAACTTCTGTTGTACTTCTATATATTGACCCTGATGTTAACCACACAAAGAGGATTTCCTGACCATTATCGTGTACTAACATTACTGTATTTGTTTGTTGAATGTGTGAGCTCAATTAACAACAATTGTGGTTTATAAACTTAGTCAATAACAAAATAAAGGTACAAGCCTACTATACAGGTGCAATCGGCTTATAACCTGTTATATTGACACCTTTACGGTGTCTTGTGAAAGATAAGGACTACGGAGGAGGTATAATGAGAATTATAAGAATTGAGATCTCGGAGCAGCCCTTAACATTTAAATAATGACCCGTTCCGTAACAATAGCACTGAAAGTGAACATAAATTACACTTTGAACTCATTCTAATAAAATTAATCCGTTCAAATTTGGTGTAACAAATATTTTACTCAATACCAGAAATCTCAGTTTCGATCGGCCTATATTGCACAATCCAGCTATAACCGAAAGAATTCCTGCTGAATCAAACTTAACCGCACAAATTTCTTTGAATATAACTTAAAAACGTAGACTTCCTGGTCTGGACTATTGTCCACGAAGTTATCCAGTATCCAGTCGTTCATTAAGCTAAATTTGAGAGCTATTTAAGGATTTGTGACGTTGATACTACCTTCTATAAAATGTGAAAGAAATGGTTCGTCAATTGAGTTACTCAATATCTTTGATGCCCGATTCTTTGCTGAATATAAAATATTTTATGCGATTTTAAGCGAATAGGAACGTGAGTTTATTGCGAGCCATATCATTATCGAGAACTCTTTGACTTACTTCACGACAGATTTTATAAGTATGTAATGGTCGATTTATTTTCAGATAAATCCATCACTTAACTGAATTAACGTATCATCTTGGTTGGGCTCATAAAGGTTTTTTCTTTCAGTTTGACCAAAAATCGAGTTACACTCCACATACTTGTTTGACCGTGCCAAACCTTGTAAATGAAACAGTTTTCGTAATGAGCAGTTCAGCGTCCTGCAGAGAGGGACACCAAATAACTTGGTAACCTGGACCCTGGTAACCTGGACCCTGGTAACCTGGCAACCTTGTAAATGAAACAGTTTTATTAATGAGCAACAGCGTCCTTGTTACCTGGTTACCATAACAACACGTTACCATAACAGCGTCCTGCTGAGAGGGGCACCAAAAAACGACTTGATCGTAATTATTTGTATTCCTCATAATTTCAGTCAGTGCTGAGTGCTGTCCCTCTCTCATGACAAACCTGTCAAAAGCCAGATGCTATTACGTATATATAACATAATAAACTTGATCAAGCGTAAATTTATTGACGTTAGTTATGAGTTTAATCAGCCCAGGCATTTAGACGCCAACTCGTTCACTCCATACTATACAGTATGTATAGTGTAGACGCTACCTTGGCGATCCTTGGCAATCCTTACTTTATGACTATAGGTTTAA